GGGGGGACGGGCGACCCCCCCCCCTGCCGCAGAGGCTTCCCCAGGTAGTGGCCAGGAGACCTGTCCTCCCCCTGCGGACAGCCGAGCCCCGAGAACAAGGCGGAGCCCCAGACCCAGCTGCAGGTCAGCGAGGGCCATTTCCATGCACCTCTTCACCGCCCCGCCCCCGCCCTGCACACAGCGTCTTCCCCACACAGAGCCCTGGTGTGACAGCCCGCCACCTGGCCTCTGGGACTGGCAAAGCCACCCAGCCCGTTGGACAGTCACCGACACAGCCCACAGCCTGGTCCCCAGACCCCGAGTGTCTCCAAGGATCCCCACACCTCCATGCCTCTGCGAGGCAGCCTGCCTGGTCACGGCCGAGGGCCCTGTGGAGATGCAAGGCCAGGCCTGTGCAGAGCGTGTCCCAGAAACCTCAAAGAAGCTGTCCTCAGACATGGGGCCACGTCAGAGGCCTCTGTGAGGCACCACCAGCACAGAGGGGACAGCTCAGTTCTACAGACAAGGCCTGCAGCATCCTGGTGCTCTCTGCTGAGTCAAAGCCATGCGTTCACACTGGCAGGGACCCCGGGGCACAGCTCCGTCCTGAACCCAGCGACATCCCTGCACGACCCTGAGTGGGTCCAGCCGCAGGAAACAGGAGCGGCCCAGGCTGAGGCACCAGGCTTTCCTACTGAGAAACCCAGAACGTGGAGAGCCGGGCAGGGCAGAGGGCCCAGGTGCTCCGGCAGAAGGGAGGGAGAGCCCACTAGAGCCAATGAGCCTGGAAGAGCCGGACCGAGCTCAGGAGGGCCGGGCTGCAGCCTACACGGCGTAAGCAGCAGCTAAAGGGAGGCCTAATAGGTTGATCCAGCCAGGAGCAGCTATGCCCGTCCGGGAATGGACGCAGGGGCGCTGCGAAGGCACCAAGCACCGCGACTCGGGCCTAGACGGGCCGGCTGTGTGGTGTGCGGATTGCACCTCGCCATGGAGTCCCGGGCGTGCGGACGTTTCTGAAAACACGCCAAGTGCGTGCACGGGACACAGAAGACAGCTGAGCAGCCTGTCCTGAGGGCCTGGGAGGGGAGCTCTGGTCCACTCCCACACCCTGCTCCCACGGCTGGGTGCTATGTACGCACTGGGGGCAGGTCCCGTGTGACTGACCACAGTTCAGCTGGGGTGGCGGGGTGCAGGGGCTCTGGAGGAGGGGGGATGGAACCCCTGGCTGACGCCCTTCCCCAGACCTGGGTCGCGGCGTGCAGGGCAGTGGGCGAGCTCCCGACGTGTGCCCGTGTGCCCGTGTGCAGGCAGGAGGGCCGGCGATGGTGCACATCCCCACTCCCCAGTACGGGCCGGAGCGAGGCCTCCCTCCAGCCAACGTCTGCACTAAGGCAGGGCACTGCCCACGCCAGAGGCCATGGCCACGGCGACCCTGGGGCAGCTACGGACAGCCGGCTCGGAGAGCAGGCAGCGAGTTCTGAGGAGGAAGGCCACCCTGCGACATGCTCGGCCTTCCTTCTCAGGTGAGTGACAGAGCCTTCCGCCGTGAGGCCCCTGGGGTCTGGAAGGGAGAGCCCTCCATTAAAGCTGAGTAGAAACCGGGCAGCTGCCTGCTCTAGGAGCCCCTCCTGTCAGCAGCTGAGCCGCCATGCCACTTGCTGGGCCTCCCCTCCCATCTCATTTAGTTATTTAGTTAGTTTTTGTAGAGAGACTTTTTACTATAGGGCACGTGTACTTGGGGAGAGAAAGAGACAAAGTGAGAGATCACCCCCAGGAGGACGGCCATGCCGCAGCCCCTTCTCCCTCTCCTCTCAGCATCTTGGGCACGCACGCATGTGCCCAGCATGTGTTTTAAGCCCCTGGTCCAGGTTCCCGTCTAATTTATTTTTAAAGAAAGGGATGCTCTGTTCCTGGGACCAGCAGTTGGTGTAATGGCTGTGTCGCTGGACTCCCACGTAGTCAACTGCGGTTCGCGTCCCAAACCCGGTGGCTTAAACTCACGCTGGGTGCGTGTGCGTGCGTGCCCAAGATCCCGAGGGGAGAATGGAGAAGGGATTGTGGCGTGGCCATCCCCCTGGGGGGTGATTTCTCGCTTTCTGTCTCTCTGTCTGTCGTCTGGCGAGCGAAAGCGCCCTATAGCAAAAACCTCTCCAAACAAAAAAAAGGAATGATCTGTTCCCTTCAAGGTTTGACACGAGGACAAATCATGCCCACTCGGGTGTTCTAGTTTTTCTCCTGTCAGCTTTCTTAGGGTCCGTTCTTCTTCTTCTTTTTTTGGGAGAGATTTTCGCTAGAGGGCGTGTGCACTCGCCAGACAGACAGAGAGAGACAGAGAAACAGAAAGCGAGAAATCACCCCCCGGGGGGATGGCCACGTCGCAATCCCTTCTCCTCCATTCTCCTCTCGGGATCTTGGGCACGCACGCACACGCACCCGGCGTGAGATTTAAGCCACCGGGTCCGGGACGCGAACCGCGGTCGACTACGTGGGAGTCCAGCGACATAGCCATTACGCTAACTGCTGGTTCCCAGGGTCCGTTCTTGAAGTCACTCTGTCTTCATTTCCTTCATATGCCTTCATTTCCAAAGGTCTCATGACCTTTCCACACGGCCTGTGCCCCACAACTTGCCCCCCCGCCTGCCCCCACAACCTGTACCCCACGACCTGCCTCCCACAACCTGCCCCCCACGACCTTTGCCCCACGACCTGCGCCCCATGACCTGTGCCCCATGACCTGCGTCTCATGACCTGTCCCCACGACCGTCCCCACGACCCGAGAACCTTAGTGCCTTTCCAACCCACTCTGCTGCCCGGCGTCGGGCTGCCAGGCCTCCACTTCCCAGCTGCTCCCGAGAACCAGGCTCAGCTCGGTTGTCCTCTCTCATGTCTTCTCTGGCGTTACCCTTGCTCTGCCCGCGGAGCATCTGTGCACGGACTAACACTGTAGACACACCAAGCCCCACTACGCCCCCTGGCCTGTGATGCCCTCACCCGCCAATAGCTTCAATGACGTGACTATGGCGCGGCTCTCGTGAGGATGCGAGATGGACATGCAGCTGGCGGGACGGAGCGATGCCGCACCCCTGGGCATGCCGAGCTGCTCCTTCCCACTCAGACCCGGCCACCCAGCGCCTGCCCTGGGCCGCTTGGCTCGCACCGCGGGCCCCTCCCAGGGCACAGCTAGGGCTGTGCTCCCGGGCTGCAGCTGCCGCAGCATGCTACACCGAGCCATCACCACGGCCGCTGCCTAAGGGACAGCGTTGGTGAAGGCACCTCGAAACGTAGCCAGAGCTGGCAGGCAGCGCCTTCTCACTGGAGCTGGTGGACAAAGACACACTAACCCACGCTGGCCTCCTGGTTCTGACCGGCACGCACAGCCACGGCCCACAGGCCTGGGCTCAGGAGGTGCCGACGGAGCATGTTCAGGGTCTGAGCCCCGAGGACGGCACGGTGGCACCAGGCCCAGGAGTGGTGGCTTCCCCTCCACAACTCAACTCGTGAGGCCTCGGCTCAGCCCAGCACCGACCGTCCTGGGAAAGCCAGGCCGCCACGAGTCGCCCACGGCCCTGGGAGCGGGAGTCGGGCAGGTGCTGCCCCGCCTACCGGGCAGGATTCTTCCAACCAGCGCGTCTAACAGCCAGAAAGACTGTTCTTCGTTCTTCGTCACGAGAATCAGATATCCTGCTATGAAGTTCAGACCCTGCGAGGACGAGAAGCGAGTTCAGTCGGTCGTCATGGCACCTGCGGCAGCCTGGCTGCCGGCTGCCGGGTCCTCCCGTCCCCCGAACGTGCGCCCTTCTATACTGGAGGGTTCTGAGTGACAAGGAGTGGGCTTGCACACGTGCGCTGGAGGGAGGGAGGCACGGATGGTCTCGTCACATCATGCCCTTCCCCAGCCTGGCTCCGTGGGCTGCACGGACACCGCCCCCTGGAGGCCAATTGCCCAGCAGCACTTCCGAGGTGGGGCAGCCGGACCTGGGACGTGGGGGCAGCGTGCAGGAGAGGGGACAGGGGAGCGCCAACAGGGCAGGAGACCTCAGAGACACTGCCTACAGGGTGGACGCCAGGAGGGCCTCTGCCACACATGCTGGTCTCTCACACACCGCACACGGGCACTGGAGGAATCCCCCGTCGGGGAAACATTTGACAGACAGCAGGGCGTGGCCTGGCCCTTGGGCAGGAGCCCTGAGCCGGAGCTCGGGCCAAGTCCCTGGGACTCATGGTGGCTGACATCCACCTCCCAGCAGGAAGAGTGCAGGTCGCATGGGGCCCCGCCGGCCGCACAGCAGCCGTGCGCCTGGCTGCGGGACCGCTCCACGGCCTCCGCTTCCCAGTCTGCTGTTTGCCATCCTCTAGTAGTGGGGGAAGGGCATGCTACCACCAGCTGCAGGGATGACGGGCCACGACAGCACTGCGAAGGCAGCGCCATCATGCGGGTCACACACACACATGCGCTGCTGCGGAGCACGGGCCCAAAGAGCCCTTCACGTGCACCGACCGCACCTCTGCTCACAGACCTGAGGACCTGCCTCGGGAGCTCAGGTGACCTGGGCCACGTGGCGGCACTGCAGCAGCAGATGCTGCTGAGACCTGCTGGGACGGAGCCCGGGGACACAGTGCCGAGAGGACATCGACTGGAAGTACGCGTGTACATGTCACCAACACGTGGGTGGGCACGTCGGAGAGGCAGCCACGGCCACATGCATCGTGTGGGGTGAACGTGCCCCTTCCACCTCAAAACCCCCACGTGAAGCCCGAACTTGGGCACCATGGGATACGACATTTGTGGGGAAGGCCAAGCAGATGCGGTTAGGTGAGCGGCGTCTCAGAGCAGCGGGGGTCTGATCCCACGAGCCTGGGGACCCTGGCTACTGGCACACGCGGGATGGTGCCACGAGCCCAGATGCCACCAGAAGCTGGGGAGGCCAGCTGGGGCCTCCCTCTCCACCAGAGGGGCCAGCCCGCACCGCAGATGTGGCCGCAGAGCTGTGGCACTGCAGGTCTCCGTGGGCAAAGCCCCCGTCTGCGTAGCCAGGAAGCCTGCACTTGCCTGCCTGTGTCTCAGCACAGCAGGGCTCTGCCTCCTACAGCGTGTGTGTTTTAAATAAAGCTCATTTAAAAATAGACCTGTAATTGCAAGAGATGGAGCGAGGGGAGAGCCCCGCTCCTCCCAGGGAACGGCCCTGCTGCAGCCCTCCACCCCCCGTGCTGCCAGGCTCCGGCCACACGCCTGCACACCCACGGTGGTTCTCAAGCCACAGGCCGGGATTCAAAGCAGGCAGCCATTTGGGATCTGTCTTCTCTGACCACTGGGCAACAGGGCAGCCCCGAGAAAGCTTTCCTTGAAACCCGGAGGACACCATGGACAGTGCTTGAAGGTTTCTGCTCCCTGGCCTCTCAGAGGGCGAGCTACCCCCAGGGCTAAGGGCTGCAACGGGAGCTCCTGCGGACGACGGCCCGTCCTAGCTTAGTCCTCTCCTTGTCACTAGGTCTTTTTAGTCAGGGGCTGACGGTGCAGCGTGTGCAGGTCTCCGTGAGCTGTCGGCACACGGCGTGCCCGAGACCAGGCTGCTGAGGCCGGGGACCCCAAGCACCCAGGCCCTGCGGGCCGCCGTCTTCCCCCTTATAGGAAAACAGGCCAGCTCCATAGCCTGCTGGGTAAGGCCAGGCCCCCTTGGCCAACTGCGTGCAAATCTCGGCCCCAGAGGCTTGAGAAGCACGCCAGGCACATATGTGTGCCAAGGTCCCGAGGGACGAAGAAATGGAGAACGGAAGCGGCATGACCACCCCATCGGCGGAGTTCTGTCCCTCTCCCTCTTTTTCTCTTTCTGACAAGTACACTGGAAACTGAAAAAAAAACTTAAAGGAAAAAGAAAAAAAAAAGTGCTTATTTCTTCCATACGCAAGAGAGACAGGAAAGCAGAGGGAGGTGGCGGCAGCACCCGTGGCCCAACCCCAGGGCCTCTCAGCCGGAGCTCTCAGCCCCGAGTGGTGCACACACGGCCTGCTCGGAGGGTCTCTGGACTTGAACTGGGACCCTCCTCAGGCCACCTGCCTGTGCCCACCTGCGGTCGTGCTGCGGAGCCCACCTGGCAGTACCCCGCCCGCGGTCGTGGTGCAGAGCCCACCTGCCCGTGCCCACCCGCGGTCGTGCTGCGGAGCCCACCTGGCAGTACCCCACCCCGCGGTTGTGGTGCCCGTAGGCCAGCAGCACGCTGCACAGTGTCTTCTGTAGACATGGCTCCGCGGTCTTCCGGAACTGCACGTTGTCTGGGAAGGTCCGGTTCAGGTCTGTAGGAAACCTGAGAATGATGACTTGAGGCCTAGCACTCCTCCTGCCTCCAACCCTTTGGGTGTCTGCCCCATGGTGGGCGGCTGGGTCCATGTCCCACCTAAGGGGCGGCTCTGCGCAGTCACACGCCCCGCTTGTCCAAGGTACCTGCAGCTGGTGCAGCCGCACCAAGACTGCCTGGCTAGGAGGGCAGGGCTGCACCCGGGCTGTGAGCACGGGGCCTCACGGCCCGCTCAGAGCCAGGTGCACCGTCTCACTGCCCACGTCCTCGCTGGCCCTGCAGACAGGACTCCTGACCTGAGCCTGTGGGGGACGGGGAAGCTGAAGGCAAAACCTGGGCTGTTCCCAAGTCCGAAGATCAAAAGAGAAGGCAGAGCCTCCCTTCAGACAGATACACAGACAGACCAGGACCAAGATGGAGTGGCTCCACGGCTGGCCCTCGCACGAGGTCTCCCGCGGCTGCACAGACCTCCCGTTGCCAGCTGCCCCGACCCAGCCCAGGACCACATGGGCCTGGCAGTCTCTTCTGTGCCGGGCTGATGCCGCTCAGGCTCAGTGGGCTGACCGAGCCCCACGTGACCTGCACGGCGGTCGGAGTGGCAGCCCGCGGGAGCTGGACAAAAGACAGGCTGCCCGGAAGACCACGCGGCTGCTGGTCCCCGGCCCTGCTTAGAGCGGGCCATTTCCTCAGTCCTGTGCGGGACCCCTTCCCTAGGCTCTGACCATGGCTCTCCCTGAGACCCCAGTGAGGCGTGCGCCCCGCCCTCCCTGCCTGAGGAAGCCCAGCCTCCAGCCCAGCCCTGCCACTGGGACGGCTGTGGAGCACGTGGGCGGCCTCCTGTCCCCACCTCCGGTCCAGCCCTTATCTCCACACAGCAAAGTGGCAAAGTCCGAGCTGGACCAGCCTGGGGCCTCACCAGTGCAGACCACATCGCAGCCCTGGGAACCACAGGGCGTTTGCCCGAGAGCCGGGCGAGCTGGAGGCAGGGGGAGGGTCACCCGGTGCACCCTGCCGAGGTCGCCCCCCCCTCCTCTCACGTGCAAGTGTGCACCCTGTTGTTACTAAGACACTTAGAAGAACGGATTTGGGCAGGACACTGAGCTCATTGTCTCAGAACTCCTATGACTCCTATTCTTACACGTGGGTTTTTAAAAAGAGGTTTCCCTGGAGTTCTACAGATTCTAAAAAGCGGAATCGGTCAGGGGAAACGGAAGCATTTTGGCTGCTTCAGACGAGGGCGTGCGGCCATGCTCACTCCTAGGCCATGCTTTGCCGTGAGAGCTGCCCATGTCTGACGCCTTCCCGCAGAGGACAGGCCCTCCCCCACGGGCTGGGTCTGTCTGCAGGGCACGAATCCACCGCCCAGCCCTGCAAGACGATTTTCTTTCTTTCTTTCCTTTTTTTTTTTTTGAGAGGTTTTCGCTATAGGGCGCGTGCGCTCACCAGGCAGACAGAGACAGAGACAGAAAGTGAGAAATCACCCCCCCAGGGGGAATGGTCACACCGCAATCCCTTCTCCTCCATTCTCCTCTCGGGATCTTGGGCACGCACGCACACGCGCCCGGTGTGAGTTCTAAGCCACCGGTCCGGGAGGCAAACCGCGGTCGACTACGTGGGAATCTAGTGACATAGACATTACGCTAACTGCTGGTTCCCTGCAAGACGACTTTCTGCAAGTCTCAAAACCTGCAGAGAGCCGCCGTGAGATGCTGCGTGGGAAGGCGGTGTGCAGAGGAGCCGGAGAGGGCTCGGGAGCAGCGGGGGCACCCACACTCCTGGCTGTGCCACGCATGGTGAGGTGCGGGGCACCCGTGGCCATGGATGGAGTACGGGAAACCGACCGTGGTGAGCGTGCATGGAAGGCCCCGACCACGCTCTTCATGGCTGTTGGGCCCACCTACATGAGGCCACGTTGTCTGTCACCAAGACCGACAGGCCTGGGGTGCGGGGTGGGGCGTGGGCCGGTGTGTTGAGTGGGAAGTTCCAGTTGGGAAGACAAAAATGGTACCTTCTGTTGTGTATTCTCCACAGAGAGACAGAGGAGGGAGGAGAGCAGGGGAGAGCACCCCATGGGGATGGCCACGCCGCAGTCCCTCTCTGCCACCTCCCTGCTGCTGGGACTCGGGGCATACACAAAGTATTTTTTTCTTTTTTCCTTAGAGGATTTTGCTATAGGGCACGTGTGCTCGCCAGAAAGACAGAGAGAGACAGAGAGACGGAAAGCGAGAAATCACCCCCCGGGGGTGGGGGGATGGCCTTTGACCATGGCCACTTGAGATCAGGGTGCAGCCTCAGCTCTGCACCCATCCAGCACCAGCCAGGCCTCTCCCACGGCTCTGGCCCTGGGGGTGTGAGAACCCAGCACCACTGAGACTGGTCCATCCTCGAACAGAGACAAGGCGTTCCTCACGGCCCCATCATGCCAGCTCTCCGCACTTTAAAGGAGCTGGGTGTGCTCACAATCAAATATCTTGTTCTTAAAGGCATAGTCCCCAACCGTACAACCGAAGAGGCAGGTGTCTCTAAACCCTCGCTACCCAATCGGGGTAAGCCCATCCTAGCTCTTGGCTCCACTCAAAGCTATACCCTGCAATGCGTGATTACCATGGCAACAGGGCAAGAAAGCTAGCAGCAGGCTAGCAGATGCCGCAAAGGTTAAGGCACTGGACCCCAATGGCTGACAGCATGGTTCAAGCCCCAGAACCGGCATCTTGAAAGACGCACTGAGCTTGAATGTGTGTTCCCAAATTCCTGAGAGAAGAATGGGAGTGTGGGGCCATGGTATGGCCATCCCCGGGGAGGTGTGGAGGGCCCCTGGCTGTGGCCACCGCTGTCCTGTGCTAATGGCAGACACAACCTACACAACCTCGCAGCGACCTTGCCCCTGCACCAGCTGCCTCCCAGCCTCCCCGAGCTCCTTCCTGGGAGAGACCTGGTCCTTCCGCTGCCATGTCCAGCCAGCCAGCTGGCGCTCAGACCCTGGCTGAGCACGTCAGCATCCCCTGTGGAAGCTCTGGCTTCTACTCTCTCTTGGAAAATGCAGTGTGAGCCAAGGTTGGTGGAGGCATTCCCCTCCGCCCTCTGAGAGCTGGGCCTCCCACGGGCTGCCCGGCAGGCTCCTCACCTGTCTTGATGGCTTCTTCTATGCTCCGGTCCCTCTCCCCTTGGAGCAGCCGCTGGTAGTAGCCAGGATTCTGGTCCATCCGCTCCTGGGCTCCACTCAGCGCCATCCAGACGTGGGCCCGGAGCGCCAGGGGGATGCCCTTGCGGACATAGCGCTTCACTGCACCCAAAAGAGACAACGCCGAGTGCACCCCAACTCCCAGCCTCAGCCCCACCCTCCTCCTCCAAGCCCAAGCCCACCCCTCCACCTG